CCCTGGTTAACAGAAATTATAAATTTATAAAAACTATCTATTTTGTTGTATGAAAAGGTTTTGTATGGGACAGGAAAACAGAGACAGATACAGATCTTAATACTCAGAATCAATGACTCCTCTGTCCAGTGAGCAAAACGATGGTTTTACTGCCAAAAGTTTTGCTAGTATACTTGTGTCAGTAAAAAAAATAAACAAAAAACACCACACCTTCAGCTAATACAGACATTCTGCAAATGCCTAAGGAAAAAAAAAGCATATATACAAACTTTGCAGAAAGAAGCTATGATAAACTATTATAAGCTGGGTAGCCAAGAATATGTATCTATTTTATAAACATAAATATGTACACACACACACGCACATAAATATATGTACACACACACACATATACACATGTATATAAAGTCTCTCTTTGCTTGAAAGAAAAAGTTATGGACACACAGCAGACATGCAGTGCACGTCTAGGATCCACAAGCGACAGTGTGTGCCCAGGACCTACTTTCTGGAGCTTCCAATGCCTTTATTTCAATATGAACATATGTGGTTTTTTACCAGCTAAGCTGGCTGGTAACTAAATGATCGCTTATATCTTCCAGTATACCTCCATAGTAAGAAAATATGCTATCAAAATACCCAAATTGTGTGGATTTTTTTTGTGCGTCTAGCCCAAATGATGTTACAATTTGAGCCAGCAGAGATGTATGGTATTGTGGTCAGCGGGGTTTTTCTCATATTCGGTTACTTAATTTTCACTGTTTTTATCAATTGGAATCTTAATACAGAATTCAAAAAGTGTGCATGCTTATTGAAAAACACATTTTACAGGAACTGCTTGGTGACAGAGGGTGAGGGGGTGAAGAAAAGCTATTTTCCCATCTGCAGCAAATCCTGCTTAGGAACAACAGTAACGAGGAAGAGAAGAGAGATATTTGTGATGATTTTAAATATTAGATTCAGGTAAGTATGTTTTATATTAGTCCTCCCTTGATTTACGTAGGTTTGTAGGGGAATTTGCAGAGATAACTGGAATTATTGGCAATATACTTGTATCTCAGAATCTGTAGTTTCCATTATTTTAAGCCAGAAATACTCTGTGAAGAGTTTATGTCATTGATAACATCCAAATTCTGTTGCAGGAAATGAAGAAGTTAAAAAAATCAAAAAAGATGAAAGTTTATTGACCTAATGATTTGAAGAAAAGGGAAAAATTCACATCGGTCTTTGCTGTGTCCGAGCAATTCACCTCATCCTAAAGAGATTAGTCTTTGTTGCCGAGCCCTCAGTTTGTGCTCTGACAGGCTTGTAAAAGAAGCAAGTTGAATAACTTCTGTCAACTACAGACCACAGTAAAAGAGGAAAAATAAATAAATAAATAAGTAAGCTTTGAAAAAAAGCTCTGTCCCGGGACAAAGATGTGCAAAGCAATGCTCTGCTTTCAGATCAACCAGTCACTCCATGGTATCACGATAATTTCAAGGCAATAAATTCTCATGATATTACATTTTACAAAATAATTTCTGTCTTCTCTTGCACATGTACTAAAGAAGTTGCCAGTGCCACAGTAAATGGAAACCTTTGATCACGTGCAGGGGAAAGCTCGAGCTCTTTGACAGGTCTTTGCTTTATAAAATTGTGCCTCTTGTGCTCTGCTTAGCGATGTGCTGCTGTGTTACGGTGCATCTCAATGAGCAAGAAGATGAGAAAGATCTGCATGGATGGTCAAGGAGCTCCTGGCAGAGCTCAAACAGACAGGGAAAAAGCGTAGAAAGGGTGGAAACAGGGACACACCACTCGGGAGGAATACAGGGACGTCATCCAAGTATGCAGGGATGGGAGAGGCCATTTGGAATTGAATCTGGTGAGGTGTGTCAAGGACAGCAGGAGGGGCTTCTTTAAGAACATCAGCAACAAAAGGAAGACTAGGAAAAATGTGGGCCCGCTGAATACAAATGCTTCCCACTAGTTAGTTCTTGTTCTTGATAGTTAAAATAGGGACTTGGTACTTACTGAAAATATCGTTTTAACTGTTTCTTCCACCTTCCAGAAAGAGTCAGAGTAACACAGAAGTTGGAACACTTTGGCAAAAAAAAAAAAAATTGAGAAGGCTACTTGTGTTTTCTGGACATTTTTGCAAAATGCGTACAAGGGGACAACATACCATTATATACAGTAATACTATTTGAAATGAACAGAGTAGAAGGAGAAAAGTAGAAAATAATTAGCAGGCTTTCTGGCTGATTTTTGATTGATGCTTTAGATGTGGAGGAAAATGACTACAAGTCATTTAAATTCAAAAAGGGGCAGCCGTAATGGTCTATAATGGATCACTGCCATAATGGTCTGCAGGCTGAACGTGAGCATTGCCTTTACCACTTTGACGTAATTTTGACTTCTTGCATTCTATCATAACACAATTCTTATATTTTTATTGAATATTGATGATTTTGCCAAATTATAGTTACAGTGAAGCCAGCTTTTAAAACAAGCACCTAAAATCAAGTGTCTACCTGTCTTGTTCAGTTTAGGGTATTTTGTTTTTTTTTCTGGTACTCAACTTGAAGGATGCCTCTGTTGAAGTGAATGTAACATCTTTATTTCCATTAATTTGCATGATGGGATGTTTATTTAGTAGTCTGGAAGAGGGTTAGTTGGTTGGTTGGTCTGTTGACTTGTTCGGTTGTTTTCATTTTTTTCCCCCAGATTTTGGAGTAAACTGCTGGGTGCAGCACACCCTAGTGACCAGCACAGCACACAACTTCAACACTGGTACGGAATCACAGAATCCAGGCATGTTGCGTTGAGGCTATTGCTCTGCACAGCTTAATTCAGTTGTACTGAAGCAGCATATATGGCAAGATATGTCACTTTGCATTTTATTTACAATAGCTAATAGCAGATAACACGTTGTTACTCTTTTCTTTCACTGTGGTGAAAACAAGAGAAGATTAGGAAGCCTTTCAAGATAATCAGAAAACAACAGGAGCATGAAAGCTGTTTCACGAGTTGGTCGTACAATCGAGTTGGATTGTTAATAGAAAAACAAGGGCTCTAGATTCAAGTGCTGTCATGTTTTAAACTGAGTAATGGAAAATACCTAAATCTTGCAGCTCATGACTTCAAAAATTCTTGTATTATAATTCAGTGCAGTCTGAAATACTCAGCTTTTTCATAACTCTAGGCACAGCAGAGAAATGCAGTTATTAATCCCACATCCATTCAGAATCACTGGCAGGATTAATCAGCAGGCCTGATTCCCAGAGATTTTGTGCACATTGGCTGAGCATCTGATTACAGCAGTGCTATAAATGGATAAGACTATCCATCATGCAGGCTTCCATACAGTACATGCTGTATTCTATCCCCAGATAATTAGTGTGCTTATTATTTTATAGATCAGGTTCCGATTGCTCGCAGACGGGATCTCTGCGTTCAGGAATTATTTGTAACGTTTGTCACATTCAGAGAGCTTCTTGTTTTACTATCATGGTGAAATTTAGGCATATGAGCATATTCTTCTCAGAATCATCAGAGAATCCTTGCAAAATAACAGTATATGTTCCCTAAAAACAAGCAGAAAAAAAAACAAAATCAATGTATAATGCTACCAGTTTCTGGTCAAGCAGCTAGTTAGCACAGTTCACGTTATTTTTGTTAGGATGGAAAAACAAAGATTCCCATCAGAGATTGTTATCAGGAACATATCCAAATATATATGCACACACAAAAAAAATACTGCACGATCTCCTGTCCTCCAGCCCAGCACTAGTCACCGTAGGCTGTGATCTGGCTTACACTTCTCAGGGCTCTCTCCCAAACCGAGGAGTCCTGCGCGCGCAAGGCACCCCCTTTCAGAACCGGCCTCTTGATTAATGGTTCTGACTTGGGGTTGCTGTTCCAGCTGACAAAATAGACACACAAAGAGGAATTAACCAAGCTGACAGACCAGCTCTGTTCTGCAGCAATGGGCAAGCGTGCTGCTTTTTTTTTTTTCTGTTCTTGCTGTGAGGCAGTATTACCTCACTAGCCCTTATAGTTTACATCCAGCAGGGACTGAAACACACCAATGCTTTTTTTTCCTGCTTTCTGCTGACTTTA